AGGGAAATTTTCCTGTGGGTTAGGATTTCTTAACAATCCTGCTTTGTGCAGCACGTGCATATATGGTTCAGGGGCACCTTGTGAAGAAGTAGAGAAAGTATCAGATGCTCGTTAGGAATCGTAACATCTAATGCTGTAAACATTTCTTTGTTGAACATTTCGTCTCCTGTGCTCACTGTTGTTTGTGGGCTGATGTCGTGTTACACATTATGTCCCGTGGTGACCATCTCCTAGTAGGAGATCTGTTAGCCATTGCTCTGCGCGTCGGTCGGTGGTACATGTGAACACGTTCCTTTGGCAGTGCAACTGTCATCCTGCATGTAGATATTCATACGAAAGGCACAAAAATCTACCCGGGAGAACCAGCCATTAGCCTGCTTCTGACACACTTGCGCATCCCTCATCCCGAAGAACTTGGCTATTAGCATCAGGTGAAACACCCCGCAGTTACGGAATCGGTTACATGAATTGTGTCTCAAGGGCATCTGGGGGAAATTGTGTCTTGGGGGGCAGGAGCTGCAACCACAGGTTTTATAGTGTGAGAAATCTTTTGGAGGAAGAGGGAAGTACTGTCTCAGGTCCCGTTGAGAGCGGACCTGTGCTGAGCCGGTGCAGCAGTGTCCCTGAGCTGTCCCTGCGGAGGTCTCTTGGGCTGGAGAGAAGGTGAATGAGGATCTCCCTCTTTTTTACCTTGTGGTGCCTCTGGAGAGAGTAAGAATACGAAAGGAGCTCTCAAGTCCCATGATGTGCGTTTCACTGTGAATTCAAAGAACCGGCTTTGTGAGAGGGAGAACCACCCCCTAGGGAACTCTCTGCTGCAGCTTGTTTTTCAGAAATACTGCAGTTCTCAACGTGGAGATGGTTATTTAGGTGGGAGTGGCAGGTGCAGACTAGTTAAACACTGTAATTTATCCTGGGAAGCCTGAGTGCAGCGTTCTGGTGAGGTGGGTGGATACAGAGCAACTGGAGGGAGTGGTGCTGCTCAGCCAGTTGTACCATCACACATATGCCAGGGAGGAGCAGAAGGAGACTGGGAGCTCTGAAGTGGCTGTGAAGTGAGCAGGAAGGAAGGAGATGGTGAAAACCGGACTGCTTCAGATGCCGTTTGGAATTGACTCGTCAGTCTCACTCGGATTCTTGTATTTATGTCTGTAGCCTCTGAACATGGATCTTTGTTCCTGGGCCTGAGGTTTGGGGGAGGTAAGGGGGGGAAGCTATGGATTGAGAGATGCTCTAATAAAACTGGCTAGTCAATGTTGTCTTAATATTGTTGACAGTTCTGTAAAGTTCCTTTTTATGAGAATTTCTGTTTTAGCAATTTGCTTTTTTTGACTCCCTCCTTTTTAAAGAGAAAATGTGACACTTGTGAAAAGCTTGTAAGAAAAAGTTTCTTTTTTCCTCAATGATCGATCTTATAGTTAATTAAGGTTGTGAATTTTTATTTTTTTGCCTCGTTTTTAATTAACGTTTGTCATTCAGAATAGGATGTGTGAAAATGTTTAAATGGCAAAACAGATTTTTTTTTTTTTTTGTGCAATTAACAAAGCTACTGGCAAAAAGAATAAAACCTTTCTTGGTAACACAATGTTCTTGTGGCAGTTTCTAAAGTATATCAAACCTGTATTCTGGCATTAAGGAAGTATGTGCATTCCTCAAAGCATTCTGAAATCAGAGTTCCCAAAAAGCGGCACTATGTCTGAAAGCATTTTGGTCACTGCAGAATGGTCCTGTCCTGAGGCACGACAGAGGATGAATTTGGATAAATTCCAGCCTCTGCATGCAAAGGGGCTGCATGTGCATCTGGACTGGGAGGAGGATGAAGTCCTAGTTCCAGAGCTCAGAGGTGGGGGTCCAGGAACTCTCCGGCGTGGGAAGCAACAGCAGTAGTCAAAGTGGTGGAAGCGTGGTGGCCCAGTTGCTCCATCTGGAGTTTCCTTCCTGCTGGTGTTTGGGGTTGTTTGAGCACCAGCTCTTAACGAACGCTAACTCGGCAGCCAGTGGGCTTTTCTAAGACAAGGTCCTGAAGTGTTGGGAAGCTCCAGAATATTGCTTTGTGATCATCCAGGCACTGTTTGCTGTTGAACAGCAGTAGATGTTCGTGCACTGAGGGATAATGGTAATCATGTACTGATTAATGGTTATTAAAATTAATTACAGGTGTTTCAGGTAAAAGTGTTTTAGCAGGGTGATTAAAAGCAATGCAGAAAGTGATGAAGGCCACTGAGTGAGGAGTTGTGCTCGCAGCAGACACTGCCAGTACTGGGAGCTTTTTTTCCACCCCAGAGCCCACCTTGCTGCTGCGGTGAAGACGACCACAGCACGCGCGTGGCCACCCCTCGCCTGCAGCGCGTCCCGTGAGAAAGAAACTGGGTTGAAGCTGGCCAGGACTTCAGCGCCAGTGTATTTCAATTCCAAC